GATGCAATCCAATGTTTTTGATATGATAAATTAGCTATTAAAGAATTTCGCATTGATTGTTGAAATGATGATAAATAGCTCAACAACAAATAACAGCGAATAATGAAAAAACTGAACGAAACGATATTGTTTATTGCTCATTCTCGACACAATCAACGAAAAGACAGCAAAACGAAATTTCTAACTCATTTGATTTTTTCTCAATTCGAAACACAACAGTTTTCTGCAAGTATATTATGCCTGTCGAGCAATTATTTTATGATGTAAACGCTGACAAGCGTTAAAAAATGAATCAATCCACTTATCACAGTGATCAATTTGAACTGAACGATAAAATTCGATAAAAAGAATGATATTTGAGTGCATTGTTCACGTTCCTCACTCATAATTCAACAATTTTCGCGAACGAATCGACTACGCTACAAAAACAATGATGTTGCATCAAAATGGCAGGCATACCGTTGATCCTCTCATATAATAATTTTTGAGGTAGTTACATAAGATATTTGGCGGCATATAAATGGTATGCGTTAGCACGAAATCTTCTAGAAACGTGTCCACATAACCGTCCTCAGCGTGTGCATCGATCCTCGTCTCCAAAAGGTATTCAACCATCTTTTCGGGCAATCCAGCCATCACCGAATAACTTAATAACACAATCAATTAATTATTCAACTGAATATGTGCCTCGTTATTGGTCGTTTTTTGATCACTCATCGACTTTCTTTCCTATTCTTTTACATAATTCAACACAAAAAATTTTTCACTTCCTCGAGGTCCCCAAAACCAATGATTCGTACAACTGTGCAACCTTCTGAAATTGCAAACAAAAAATCGCCTGTAACAAAAGATACGCATAAATAATTCCATTTCAGAATACCAACCAACAGTGTTGCCTCGACGTGACCGGCTCACCCGTATACGGATCATGCGCGGTTGAATCTTGTTTATAGGTGTTATTAATCTTTTCCAGCACTAGCACATCATGTCCATGCTCTTTCAAACGAACTGTATTCGCTTCAACATCACGAAGAATCCTTTCAAAGTGTAGCAGATTATGTTCGTATGTGCATTATACGAATGAAGTGCGATTAGATGACAAATGAATGCATGATATTTGTTTCGTTTTCATGTAAATTCACATGAATGAATAATGCTTCGCTTAATTAATTCCCTATCTCACTTGATGCACATACACACACCTCGAAAGCAGGTGTTTTCTTCTCCGAACGGATGTGCTGAATGTTCTCGAACTTAATCGCCTATGTTCAGTGTTCAGTGGTAATTGATAGCTGACTGAGCATTCAATATTAACAATGCAGGTTTCTATACGTTCCCATGAGTTGGCTTCTCATCATCACTCACATAACTATTCGATGATTACAAGCGAAGATGATACGTTTANAGATAGATGATAATAATAGATGTGGCTGCTTTTCGTAAATCATTGCATCACTCAATAGCAAAAACAAACGTATTGTTCATCAAGATGAAGTTACTGAAGCATTTGGTACTAGGCAAGCAAGCTGGCAGGATTCTTTCATGGCTGGCAGAAGAAAAATGAACGAGAGATTGCTTTGAAAATACAAATGTTACACTCGGCATCCTAATGACTTAAAAAAAGGGAGAACAACGATCGATTGATGAAAACTTAATTGGTCTCTCGCCTATGTTGTTGGGCAAATCAGCAAATGAATAAATAATTCAGCGAATTTAATCAAGCAAATTGAATTAATTACCTATTGAAATCGGTCTTGTCGACCCTAAGAAACTGTGAGTTGTCTTCATTCAGTGCTATCGTAGCGGCACGTGGTGCATCGTTCACAAGCGCCAGCTTGCCGAAGTCGTCACCCTCTTGCAACGTGCACACCACTCCCTTTCATGAAATATCAACTTTTACTTTGGCATCAATTTTTACGAGCAATTTATTGGAAATCACTCATAATACATTAACACAACAAATAAACCAACGAAATTACCTCTAATATCGCACTTAACATATCACATTTAACAGTAGCACGATGACTGATTAATGGCTAATGAGTGCAAAACTTCCAAAAACAAAACTATATGGAAATGTGTACAGCGTTGGAATTCTTCATCGCTAAACAAATCGAGAATTCAAGAAAATCGCGAAAGTAATGAAAAATAGTTTAAAAATCGATTTTCTTTTTACGACGCATCTTCAAACCTCTAAAAACTCACAATCGGTGCATTTAAGTCATCTTGAAATTCAATAATCATTTGAGGTATATAACATGAAATATCAACATTTAACAGTCTCGAAACGCGGCCAACGGACACATCCCAGATGCATGCATCAATACATCAACCAGTTGCACTCTTTTCAACTTCTTCACTTCATTATGGATGCTTTCTTGACGTATACCGACAAAAAACGCAAAAACAATACAGATTAAATATAATCTTAAGCGCCGCAACTGAATAATTGAATGAAAATCTTATTCGTTTCAGTAGGACGATTAAGATTGAATAAGCTTGATAAGTTCGTATTCTAGAAGGATTTTCCTCTCATCTCATTTCTAATCAGACAAACAACAGATAATCACACGACAAACAAACAGCACACAACCCATAATGGACAGACACACACGTTTGGAGCCAAAAAAAACATGGATTTAGAGTCGATCGTCTCGAGGCCGGGCGGCCACACGAGAGGAAGTTGAAAGCATAATCGAGATTACATACTGAGAATGAGCAAAACTTGTTGGTGGTTTCCTGTATGAAAAAACCAACTCTAAGCCACTGGAATATGTTGCTGCTGGTTTGTTGAAAGGAAGATGGTTGAGAAATAAGACGAAACGAGAGGTGTTGTGGATGGGTTGTGCTGATGAGGTGAGTTGTGTTGCGATGGATTGATGATGCTTGTTTTTTGTTGTTGGCTATGCGGTATCATTTGTTGATATGATCATATTAGATTATCATCACTATCATCTCATTCCAATATTCACGATTTCTTGAGAGTTTATTAATGAATTAATGTTTTTTGACTGACGGACAGACGAAGTGCGTACAGACTGACGTTGTGCGATGTTCATTTGATTCGATTTTATTTCAGTTTTGTTTTTATCGCACGATTGTCGGTTGCACTCTTGCTCTATTGATTTTAATTGACCTTCTAATAATGATAATACACGAACGGCTATTTTCGATGGTAAAATGTTCGAGTGCTCATGAATAATATTGCGAAAAAGCTATTTTTATGTGTGGTACTCCAGTTACAATGGTTTATTTTCATGATATATTAATAATAACTGCTCTTTTACGAACTTCCTTTCTTGTTATGGAAACTTTCGTTTTGTTTGATGATAATCATATGGCGAGAAACAGTTTTTGTATTCTTGTCTTTTTTTNAAAAAAAACGGAAAAAAAGATGTAATTAGAGCAAGACAAGAAAAAAGAGATGTAGAAGCGAATGAAATATTAACCTTTCCATGGATGCTGACATTCACAGATCCCTTCAGTATGATGTACCAACAACTACCCTCGTCCCCTTGTCTGAACAGTATCGTTCCGGTGTGTTGATGTTGCTCGAAGAGCACAACACTGGCCAGCTCACGTTTCACCATCGTACTCAAATGTGCTAACGCCTTAACGTGTAACAGCTCCTCATGAACAAGCTCTAGTTCTTCGGCACTTCGCTCGGATGAGCTGAAATTTCGTCGATGATCACTGTCAATCAATCGACTCAACCGCGAACAATACCAAAAGAAAGTTTTGATCTTCAGATCAAAAAGTTCAATGAATGAATTCACACTTACGGTTTACTAAGAATCATTCGAAAAAGTGCATCAGGTCCGATCGTGCTCAAAAAGAATACTGCAGATGCTAGATCACTCAAATGCACAATCGGTATAGGATTGTCCACTTCCGCTAAATAACCATTCCGAGCCCTAAACAATCTCATACATTCCCTTGTTTTTCCTCATTTCATTTGCTACATTATTTAACAACAAACATAGCACAAAGTATGAATAATAATTATGTTTTCGGGAAGAACTCAATATGACTTTCGTTTATTCTTAATAGCTTTGAATGATTAAATTAGCCCTGTGAACATAATGAGTTCGCATAGAAGGCGATATGCGTATGAACAATACAACAAAGAAAAACAAGCTTCATCCGCTTAGAAACTGAATAGTTCAAAATGATCAAAGAAATAAAACGATTTCGGTGAGGTTCGATGGAATTTAATTAGTCGTTAGAAAGAGTCATAAGGAATAGTCACTGAATAGAATTCAAATGATGATCATTTAAAAAACAAACAAAAAAATAATTTCCACCTCATTCCCACTTCGTTGCTGTCCTCATCCAACGTCCAACGGTAGAAAATATGTTTATCAGCAAATTGCACTTCATTATTCACTGAAACGAAAAGTCATGCAAAAGACGCATGATACGTTCAATAAGATAATTTATTCGTTCATTTCATTAAGTGCGTCCAACGCTTTGCAGTCGAAACCACTGAGCAAAACCACAAACAATCAAACGATAACAAGCGATATGAGTTCACCGTGCGATATGATGCCATTCTCGAGTAATGCTTGCCACATACCGACAACTTGAAATCGTGAAATTTGACTTGTTGTATTCGAATTCAACGTTTCAACACATAAAGCGCACAGCCAATCAACCATCTCATTACCAATCATACACCATCGATATATCTTAATTCGCTGATTAATCCGACTTTCAACAAATTCTTTTTTATTTGCCTTAAATGGGCATTTTCTGAGGATCGTTTGACTACTCAAGGTCAACCGATTGCAAGTTCGCTCCCTGTGAGGCTAAAAGAAAGCCAAAGCCGAGCCCACAGCCTTATTGACCAGGATGATGTGATGTAACAGTAATAAACGTTTTACAGTTTCTGCAAGCAATGAGTAAAACTGAATTTCGAGACAACTGGATGGGCGTGAGTTGGATAGATGGAAAATTTCGGTGATTTACGCAGTTTATTAGTAATATTTAAAGATGAACATTTCACGTCTTTGCGTTCTTCATTCACTAACAAGAATGTGCCGTATAGAAAGTAACACTTTACAAATTCTTTCCATAGTTCATTTCACGACGTAACAATCAGTATGCGACACGAACCTGCATATGGCCTTTGCGATCGCGAATCATTCCCGCGGCTCGAAGCTGCATAGTTCTTTTCAGCAGAAGGCCGGCCTCGATTGTTCTCGATTCCACTGACTGAAAGTCAGTCGTTTCATTGACGCATTCATGTGATTAATTGATAGTTGAAATGACTTTAACGAACCGAGAAGTAAGTAGAAACAGAACAGTAATTCAGCATAACAACTTGCCAAAGAATCACAAAAATGAATGCAAAATTTACTGACATTACAACGCAAAGCGTCATATAAATGTGATTTGATGAATTTGGGAACAAGACTGAACATTATAAAAGAATGAGATATGATAACTTAGCTTACAATCGAATTGCTAAGTTCGAACAGACTTGATGGAGCATTGTTCCATTCGTTATCGATTTGGTTTTGAAATATTTGCAGATTCGATGGATTATTATTAATATTGTTGTTGTTATTGTTGCTATACGGCAATGAATGATCGCCTAACTCAGCGCACCTTTGTCTCATATCGGCGAAATCATACACAATTTCATCATCTTCAAGAAAATTTTTGTTAATTGATCACAAATTATCAGAAACTTAAACAGGATTACAAATTCAAATTAATACTAATGAAGATTTTGACCAAATGGTTGCATCTGATCGTGAATCAGGAATGAAGCTAAACTGATTTAAGATCAAATGATTGAAGATCAAATAAACCACTAGGAACAACTTGAGCGCTTTTGTCATACTTACTTGCCCGTTATCATTAACATTTTTAATGTCTTAAGCCTACACCACTTCCCCTCTCATGCGTATTAATCATCAGCAATCCAACACCATCATTATCAGTAATCAGCGCTCTAATCTTATCATAAGCATAATATCAATCTGTCATTCTTATGCATTTCAACGATTACACTTCGATCATTCCTTCCCATGATCTGTTCCATATAAGCCTTGGATGAATTTCTTATTCTCGTCTGAATCTAAGACTGACCGAACAACTTCATGAAATCGCCAACATTTTCCGTCCTCTCTAATCGGACTTACGCTTAGCTGCGATCACCGGAAAATATTACGAGAGAAGTGAAAGTTTCTGAAGTTCCGATGGAAAGAATTAATGTGATGCTGTTATCATTGTGATCTGATCGCAATTATGATCCGCATAATTCAACATGAAAAACCCTTCAAATGAATTCACTAGCCGTTTGGTATATATTGATCAGCAACGTGCATTTGAATGGCGTTGGTGTTGTGTGTATGCCGACTTCGCGGTGATGGAATCGTTGGCGAATGAAAACCTAAGGAAATTTTCAGTTTTGAGCGAATATATTCGCTAAAGTACAACAGAAATATGTTATTGATGAAGTGAAAATAAAAACGAGAAAACAGTGAGAATCATGGGTGGGGGGAGGGGGGGTTGAAGGGATTGTATAATATATCGCTTCGATAATGAAGGATTTGCAATCCCATCACAAAAAATTTGAAAGAAATGTTAGCTGAAATTAAAATTGATTGGGCGCATATTTCACAAAAAATATCCTTTCGGTTTATGATCACAGTTTATGACTGACTTGGTTTATGACTTTTCTGGACAACATTTGCATTCTCTCAATGAAATTATTCTGAATTCAGGTGCTCAAATCATTCATATCACCTCTCCAATTCAAACAGATTTAATATCATCCGCGTCGCGAGTATCATTTCTGCTAATGTTTCAGCTACAGTCTGCACTTATACACGATGAATGTGTCATAATTATGGGGTCGTTGTTGCAAACGACAACAATACAGCCACTTCAAGCTGAGTGCAAAAATGGCAAATCGAGAAATTCGTTGCAGAATAATTATGAAAGAATGGAAGATACGAACAGTGATAACGAACCGATATCATCCGTGACCAGATCTTGCATTATAACAAGATGTGATTGCAAATGATCAGCGTGCTTCTATAATTAATCACTGTTTAGAATGAAGTCAATTGGGTGATTAACATGGGAAATTTCACACACTATACATATCTGACATTTCATTGAATTCTTATTCGTCAAGCTTGCACTCCTAAAGAGTGGGAATTCGTGATCAAATTGACCGTACTATTTGAATTGATTTGAACAAGAAGAAAGTACAAACAATTGCAATTGATAATGAAATTGAGGATACATTGACGTATATGTGTGAGAGACTATAAAGCACGGAATGAGTTGTTCAGACTCGATCGCGGGATTTTAATTGTAGTTGATGTGAGTAAGTGAATGACAAATTGCTTTCGATTAATGGGCAGTCTTTTAGCTTTTTCCTTCTGCTTGACAACGTCAACGAATTGACTGCATATTTCATTCATTTTTGATTAAGTCGTCGCTAATTTCAGCAACTTTTTTCAAACATTAACAACCATAAGATTCATAAGAAGCACCATATCTGAATACACTTCTACTCCGTTCCAATAGTAATATTGGCAATGCAACTCGGAACGAGTTACACTCCGATTTGTCGGTGTCATTAATATCGTTACCGTTACAATCATCAATTATGTGACCATATTAACGGCTGAATGAAATACAAAATAAACTTACATTATAGAGTGCAATAAAGTGTGAGTGGTTGATTGTAACGAATTCAGCTGTGCGTGTAACACGTGCAGAACAGGTATGCCTTTGCTCGGACAATTCTCCGAATAGAGCCACCGAATTGATTGTTTCAACGACTCGTCCACCACCGTACCCCTGAACAATTAGACCACATGATTCTTATTGAAACGTTTCAATAAATTTTCATCACTACTAGCAACTGGACAACAGCTCAGAACTATCATACTTTTTTACAGCCACGCAATCGATCAGCTAATGGATTTCCTACCGAGAAGTGCATATCACCGCATGGTGAAGGTAATGAATGCACTGAACTGGCTGTGCCAGTTGTTTGGGATAGAAACCTGAGTGTTGCTGAATGGTTTGGTTCATTTATTTATATGGACGGAAACATTACTAAGAAGAATAATTCATTTAATTATGGTTTGTCACATTTCTAGTGCGTTAATCAGCGAACGAACATGCAATCACTGAATTATTTACAATT